CCCCCTACTTGTCTACAGGGATGTCTACCATCTCAATTAGAATTTTTACAACCTGTTATAACAAAATGTTTATTTAAGGAAAACCATGCATTTGCGGTAGAACTCTCTGGGTGGTGAAGCCTTACGTATTGCATTCCTATGTGCAGAAAGGGCAGCACAGGAATAGGGGCCTCAGTATAAAATGGTCATGGTACCTTCAGGTGATAGAAGAGCAATGCAGACCAGCTTTTCAAAGAGAAATAGTTTTCCTGTTCAAAACATCTAATCATTAAAGGGAGAATCTAATGCAATGTAGCAAATATAATCGTCTTCTTAAACAAGTCAAACATTGGCAATATTCTAATGAATCCATTTGTGAGTTATTCTGTTAACTTGCTTTGTGCTGCAGGCTGTCAAAATTCTGTAATAATGCCCCTGCCCCGTTGAGGTCCTGTGTGTGTAGGATCAAGGCATGTCTGCATTTCCCCCAAGTCCCTGCCTCTCCATTGTTTCTGAGCATCCCATTCTCGTCTTCCCATTGTCTACATTGAATTTGGCGAGGTGTGTGAGCTGTCACTCCTCAGGGTACTAGAAACATATTCAAAGGGCCTTTCTAGCTGGGTTGCATAGCAATTCATCGTCTCACAAAGGACGACCTTCACAAGCCAAAAAAACTTCCAACACAGTTCAACAATAGGGTTCATTGTTTCCTAGGTCCCATTTCAATTTTATTACACTATTGAAACTTGTTTTCTGAAAAGGTTCCAGAAAATAGCCTGACTAAATTACAAACTTAACAGTGAATGATTTTAAGACAAACAAGACAGCTGGCTATTTTCTAAGGAGTGAGAGATCACCCCTACATCATGACCTTCAGGTGTAGCAACTTGACGCTTGCCAAGACTGCCAAGAGGACCAAGAGAAGACCCATCCTAACAAATCTCCAGTCCCTGCCCATGGGGCCTTTCATTCTCCCAGCATACCCATCACCTCTCCCTCTTACTCTCTCTATAATGACAAAATCATTTTCCACCAAGTTGTGAGCCATAGCCTATGAATTGACTATCACTCCCCAGTAAGATCCTCCAGGGTAGTGATTCTTCTGGAAGCAGGAGTTTGACTCGGAGGTATAGAGGGGAACCAGCAGCCCCAGCTTCACCACATCAGCCACCTTAACTATTCTACACACAAAATGTTCTTCTTCCACTGCTCTCAAACACTGAAATTTGGCAAAGGCTACTTTGCATTAATGTTAGTGTGTGCAAATAAGTCCCTACCACGTGGTCTTGGAGTCCTACTATGAATGGAGCTTGCACCTTTGCATTCCAGCTGACCTTACTTTATATATATCACCTCTTACCTGCTGCTGCCTCTGCCCAGTAAAACACCTGTGGGAAATTCGAGGATCCACGCTATCTGAACGTCGATCGATTTTGATTTTACAACTTTCCCCAATCCTGTTTTTCATAAAACTTTTGAAAATATGAAGTAGCAAAAAACATCAGCTGAAAAATCAGCTGAGGAAACATATATCCTGGTCATAAGATATGTTTGCATCGGCGCTTTTTCCTCTAAAGTACAGAGCAGCCCGGGTGGTATGAGGGCCTCGGTCTCCGTTCTCTGAAAAGTTCAGAGGTTGGGTTTCAGTTCTTTTTACCCCATGGGGATTTTCATCATTATCCCTTTCATTAAAAGAAAAATAGATGATTAACAACCAAAACACTCAACACGACTTGTTTAAAAACTTTTTCTTCTGATTTTCTCAGAGACCAGGTTCATTATCAACCTTGATTACTAACCACAGAATATCTATTTTCCCCATAATTCTTGAGCAAGTTAAAGTATTTCACACTCTTTGGTTAATAATGCATACTAATAGTAAGAATATTACCTCAGATGTACAGAAAAGGTTCCTTCTTTCCTAAGAGCTGGAAGATGCTCACCTGTTTGAGCAAGTCCTTTTGCCATGATGTGGGGAGAGGAAATGGCTTTGCTCCAACAGGTTGCTCTGTATTGCACAGAACAGAGCAATCGAGAACCTAAATGTTTTTCTTTCCAGTGGCACCTCTATAATGGAAAATCATAACTTGCTTATTGTTTGTTGAACCCTCAGTTTTGCATCTGACAACCTGACTCAGTGTTTCCCTGTAATGGTCACATATCTGTTCTGATAATCACACGATTAGAAAGCACATTTCCCCTCTTCAAAAATTGTGATTGTTTTCCTTACTGCATTTTTATTTGTATTATTTTTATCATATTTTTAATTGGAAGTTTGTAGTGAGTTATTTTCAAAGTATGAATATTTTCATACTTGATTTCATAGTGTGAATATTTTATATTCCTTTTTTTCCTTTAAAGATTTTATTTATTTATCTTTAGAGGGGAAGGGAAGGAGAGACGGAGAGAAATATCAATGTATGGTTGTGTCTCATGGGTGCCCTGCTGGGAACTGGCTTGCAACCCAAGCATGTACCCTGACCGGGAATCGAACCGCGATCCTCTAGTTCGCAGGCCTGTGTTCAATCCACTGAGCTACACCAGCCAGGGCCTTTTCTTTCAAAGTTCCTCCAAATTATATAAGCTTCAGATGCTTTAAAAATGGGATCAGTCCTGAGTTTGTGCTGAAATGCACATCATAGTGAGTTCGGTGGAAATGACTGGAAGCCCACGGAAAGTGTCTCCAAATTCAGATGGAACCCCTACAACGGTTACATTTCCTTGTGCAAGTGTGTGTTCCCCTTGTCCCATCAGCAAACAAGAGTACCTTCTAGATTCAGGAGGCTTTCCAGCTGTTGTGCTTATCTGTGACTGTACGCACGTGAATTCTCTCTGAATGGCCCATTTGTCTTTCTGACAGGGATTTTCCAGGTGCCATGTTGCTGCCACGACTAAATAATTTCTCAAGGAAGGGTGAGCCCCGGCCACTAGGGGGCGCATGGTCTCAGAAGCAAAGTCATCCTGTATCTGCATCTACCTAACTAGAAAAGTAACAGAAATCCTGAGGCACAAGAGAGGAGAAAACTGAAGAGAAGTGTGGACAGGCATTTTCACAGCCCTAAAAGCCCTGCGGTCTTCACTACCTCTACCTTTCTAAGGAAAGATGGCCCATGAAACACCCACTGTGATGGACAACTGACCTTAGGCAGAGGTGTTCATATGAACACCTCGCTACTATCACCAAGCTCACACATATTCATGAAAAGCCATAATTCAAAGCTTTCTCTGTGTTCTATGTTAAGTCCCATTTTCAGAATACTAATAGTTTTTCAAACTAGGGATGAATTCTTACAGTTTCTGTGTTTTGAACGAGGGATCATTTTACAAAGTTATTTATTTTTTTTGGTAAGTTTTATTTCCTCTGTCATGCTTTTAGCCACCAGTCTTCAGAGCTCTGCACCACAGAGAACTATCAAATGTGTATCCAACGTCATCTTGTTGCTTTCCATTCTGGTTCTGGCTGTGATTACAGGGGTGAGATGAGAGCTTCAAATGCTTCCAAGGAAAACACCTGCCAAGCTGACTGATGAGGGAAAAGCCATTTCAGACATCATTTTCTGTTTGATTTTATAAACAAACCACTTTAAAGAAATAAAGCAAGTAAAAGTCCAGAAAAATAATATAGTTTCAGATATTATTTTAAGGACAATTTCTTTTTGTATTAAATACCCACAATTCTCCAGTCAATACACTCAATCTTTTCTGCTATTCTTCAAAAGCTTTTCAAGGAGACACTTTAAATGGAGATTTACAATACATATTCCAAACAGGTCCAGAAAGATATTTTAAATCATATTTCAATTTTATTTTTAAGAACATATGAAGTTTATAAAAAGGAGTTGGATACATAACCAATGTGAGAATGTGTAAATATTAGAATATATGATTGTAGATACATGTTCAGAAAAAAGCCACATGAAAGGAAATCGTGGTACATTTATTTATTCCATTCACTTGCTAAACTACCAGCCAAATGTAGGTTCTTCAAGGGATATTTTAATATTCCATAGAATACAAATACTCAGAATCCAAACTGAATTGGTCTGGAATGTGGGTTGGATGATGTTTTTTTAAAAACTCCCCATAAAATACTAATACACAGCCGGAGCTAATAATCTCCTGGATCATCCGCTTGCTTAATGGGGAGGCGAGAAGAACCCCCTCACAGAGCTGTAGGAGATTGTTCTTCTGAGAGTCTTCTAGCGCTAAAGGGCATCCAGCCTTCCAATAGGAGAGAACTCTTTTAATTGTGTAGCTTGGGTCAGCATGGCAAACACGAAATTAAAAAAATTTTCATTAAGTGGTGATTAAACAATTTAACTATTATAACATGCTTCACTAGTTTATATTTTTATATAGTTTTATTTTATTATAATTTTTGGCCTCTTTATTAAATGGTGGTTTTCAGCTTTTTGGCCAACTGAAAATTTTATATGTATAAAATTGTATATATTTGCGTGTGTATATATATGTGTATTATGTATATACCTATGTGTGTATATAGGTATATACACATATACATGTATATATATACACACACGTATATGAATTACTATATTAGACATAAATATATATCAGAGAGAGAAAAACAGTGAAATATAGATCTTAATAGTTTTCCTGGGGCCTCAGGCATCTTTTTAGCTGGGGGTCCGTACTAACTGATAGTGGTTCATTCTAGAAAAAGAGACTACAGCTTAACAATCACACAGTATGTGTGATACCAACTCCTGGTAAGTTAAAAACCTGACTGGCTCTCTATGTCATACACTGCTATTGTCCATGGAAATATTTCTGAGAGTCCTTTACCACTTCACAGGATCATGAAGCTGGTTGGTCCTGTCTTCGCCAACACTCAAGAGGCTTTAGGGTCTGCAGAACCGACGAGAGCACATTATGGGATTTACCCAGGAGGTCATCCAGTCTCATTTTGCTGAAACGCTCTCCTCTGAGTAGTGATTACTCCTTAGCACACCTGGGAACACGGGGGACTTTGACGCCACGCAAAGAAAAATGCCACTAAATTGTTTCCTAAATGGTAGGATTTATTTCAATGCTCACATACAATTGAATGAGACAAACTATTTACATAAAACCTAAGTACAAAAAATATAATACAATTTCACTGTACATAATCAGGGCTCTCTTATTGTTCCCAGACAGAGGTGAAGCGGGGGTTGCTGTGAAAGGAAGAGTGCTGTGCCATTGCCAGTACTTAGGATCGCTCTTCATGAATTTATTGTTTTTAAAAAAGATGAATTAGTTTGGTTTACAGGAATTGGCAACTTACCAAGAGCAGTGAACGAGGACTGCACTTTCACCTCCATAACGATAGCTCGTTTTAACGTATAAATATGCCTGTTTTCCTCCTAGTCCAGGCCGGGAGAGGTGTGAGGTGGTTTCTGCTGATTGGCCGGGTAACCCCCTTTGTCCACCCTCCATCTCTGAACTCCCACAACTGAGCCAATGAAACAGGCAATGAGCTCCCTGGGCTGCTGCCATTGGTGTCTTCAGCCAGTTTTTGAAAACACGGTATCTGTGAGGTGTCAGTAAACAACTTTCTTAGACACAGACCTGGGCAGCTCTCAAGTGAGCATTTAAGACCAGCGAACTGATGAACAGACAAGGTGAAAGTGAAGACCACTGGAAATTTGTATTTCACACTGAATGTAAGAACTGGAAAAAATGTGTGGTGTGTTCACTGGCCCTGTGAGGAAATAGTCGGCAATCCACAAGCATTCCAACAGGGCAACCAGATATGAATATATATATCCTTTTAAAAAAAGAAACAATCCCAAATAAGTTTATTTTGTACCACAAAACAGCAACAGCAAAGGAACAGAATGAGGCTTTTAACGTACCATGTTCAAGTCACAGCCAGTGACACAACACAAAGGGTTAGGCACACTCCTCTGGAGAATCCTACATTGGGCCAAACTTGTGCATTTTCCTTGCCGATGATGTAGTGCTTGGTGGTGAACATAGGTGCTTAGGTTAAAGGTTCATACTGGGCTTTCTTTCAAAGTACGGAAGTTCAAATGCGATTTTGCCAACAGTCATGGTACAGAGGAAGAGCAATCAACTTTAGCAGAGAAAACAGTTAACTTTCTTAACCTAAATAAACAACTTTGTGGACTTGTGAAGCAGCTTTGACACTGACTTAAAATATAAAGATAAAAAACAGCAGGCAATATTCTGTGCAGTTCTCTTTCCGCTCACCGTGTCTGTGGCCACTGTCGTCAGCCTCTCTGATTTTCCTACAGCTACGGACCTGCCTGACGAGGGACAGTGACAACAGTCTGTACCTCCCACAGGCATCACTGGCATTCCTACCACCGGGCACACACTAAGGTGTTTGGAGGAGGATGTAAGATGAAAGTGATGTCAGTTTCTGGGAGGCGAGGCTGGTTTCACCTTCACTCTGAACACACCTGGGCACCTATTCCTGTGCCACACCCCAGTGGGGGCACAAATACCTCTGAAGATGATGTGCTTCTTAGTCATTTCCTATTCCTGAGTTCAAAGAGGCACAGAAGAATGATTTTCTTTAAAGAACAGCCAATCAATCCCCTGCTTTGAATTGGAACCAATAACATCCAGACAAAATAATAAATCATTTTAAACAAGGCACTGGCATTTTCAGAGAAAATTAATCTATTTGAACATGTAGAGGGTGGCTCACCATACCCTCTTCTTGGCAAGATTTTGCTCCGAGCTTGTATTTATCCAGCATGTGAGCCATTTGAGCTACCATTCACCTAGTACTCGGGCCCTCTGGAATTACTCTGCCAACAAGCTGAGAAAAAACACGATCCTGTTTGAAGCGCTGTGGGCCTCACATTTCTGACTACATGTGGTGGGAGGAATCTTATTCTCTGTGCAATAAAATTGTTAGATAAAAAACTGCCATAAAGTGGTTGTCTGCCTCTACTTTACTCCTTTCCAGTTCTTGACTAGTTACCATCATCACGCCAACAAGGTGAAACATGTTTATTGAATGAGAATTGATTCTGGCTCTGGTCATGGGTAAGCAGCTTGACTGCTTTCTAGTATGAACTCATATGGTCTTTCAAAAATACTATGTGAGACAGCTTTCACTAGGAACAGGAGACATTGTATCAGTCTCTGAACTTGGTTTTGATGATGCTCTAAGTCTCTCTGCAGAGTGGAACTATATTTTCAAAGAGAACAGGTCTCCATTGCTGATGCTTCTGACATGTGCCGAATTTTCAATATTGCAACACAGGAACACTCAATAAAATTTTGATCTCCATGCTCCAAAAAGTATGTATGATGCACCTGTAATGTAAGTCCTGAAAAGGGTGGATACAGAAGTCATTTTAGAAATTTTGTGGCTTCCTCCTCCCCGTAAAATGTGGGTGCACTTTGGGCTGACAGGTGGCCACCAGTTTAGGCTAGAGAAGAGAACAATGCTGCGAACCACTTCCAAAGAATTTAAATGAGACTAACGTAGTTTCCTAATGAAAACCAGCAGAACTTGAACTGTATCCAGAAACAATCCTAAAAATTAACCTGTGATTAATGTCCGTTGACAACAGGTTCCTTTAGTGGGATTAAATTGCCTGGTGCAGTGTAAAGTATGCATTTATAATTGTGCTTCTTGTAGTAAAAGAAAAAAGAAGAGGAAAGAGAAAATTTAAAAAGTCACACAGAAATGAAAAATGTGACAAGTGTCCCTGAAGGTTTTGGCAGGAATCCCAAGTGTCCCAGCCTAAGGAAGAGCTGCCATTGGGGGGAGGTCCCAGGAGGCGTGGCAGGGCCCCTGTGAAGACCCACACGCGAGGGCTCCTGCCAGAAGAAGGGTTGCGGGGGCCAAGAATTGGCACCTGAGCAACAGCTCCATAGTGACAGCAACGAAGTTCCTCCGCAGCTGGTTAAAATGCTTAGGACTTAGCTGAAATTATTCTAAATGAGCTGAAATCTGTTATGCAAGAGGGAGAGAGAGAAAGAGAGAGAAACCAGAAAAACAAGGATAATTTTCCTTTGAATAGAGTGTCATAGAACAAATATGAGGGGATTTCTTTGCAGTGATCATTACAAAGATTTATCTAATCGACAACATAGAAATGCTGTCGCGGATGAAGGCTGTTTTCCCCAGTCATTGTCTGAGATTGATTAAAGACCAGCTTTGATATAATTTAGAAAGCACTTCCCATGAAGTCCAGTGGTGCTTTTTTAAAAAAATATTAGTTTCTTCTTTCCTTGGGGAAATAAAATAAACTTTTAAACTTAGAAAAATCTGAGGAAAGGGATTCAAAAAAGCAGCTAACATGATACACAGTGAGGATATTGTTCTTATAGGAAAGTGATGAACTGGGTTGGAGCATCCAGTTAAAATTAGGAAACCAGCTGGCTTCACTGTGGACTTTCCCCACAGACAGAGCGACCCCACACAGCACACAAGGAGTGAGGCAGTGCACCCTGGACCCCCACACGAAGACCCCCGTGTGACGCTCACCTGCAATCCACCAGGCCTCCCAGAGCCTGCCTGCTACTGAAATCTCAATTTCAGTAGAGACATGTTTGCAAATCTGGGGATAGGAAGATATTTTGAACTCAGTATTACTAAACACAGGATTTTCCCAACACTTTTTGAAACTATTTCTTTAAATGGGGTAGGGTAAAAACACACATACACTAATAAGCCCATGTTTACCAATGCCCACACTACATATCTTCACAGATCTGAATGTTCATTGATTAATAAAAACACATTTCGAAGTCCACCCATGGCCTTTATCTCAATGCCCTTGGCATTAGATGAATTCTTTCAATCTTGCTCCGACTTTTAATAATTGTCCAACCAAACGTCATGTCACGTATCAGCTGTTGGTGAATAATTTATCCTTTTTTTTCCCCTACTGGGGACCACTATGAATTGTATAATACCCTGAAATGCTCAGAAACAAAACAATCAATAAAAACCCTACTTCTGAGTACCCCGATTTCTCAGGCTACATGTTGAAACACTGTGGCCTCCATGCAGGGAGACGTGGGGGTGAGTGGATGGGAAGGCAACACTAGGTTAAAACCAAAAGGCACCAGAGCTAAACGTCTCCTCCTCACCTGACCCAGAGGTGGCAACGCCACCTGGGAGCTGGGGGGAGCAGCTCACTAAACACAGCAACGAGCAGCAGAAAGCAAGCTTCACACATCATTAATGCTCTTGGTAGGGGCCGATCGCCAGACGTCAGTTCATTCAGGGAAATGGAAAATGAACGTTAGTTCTTTCAGTACTTTCCATAACATGAGAAATTTTTTTAAAGTCTCTTACAATTACATTTTAGTACTTTCAATACTGTCTTCAGGGGCATCATTAGTGTTCAAGATTTTTTCTTCACAGGGAGAGAGGAAGTGTAGGGTCTATGCAAATGCTACACGAGTCATTATTTTACAGACTTGCTCTTCAGGACGTTATGATGGACCAGACAGGTGGGCATCCAGGCCAACTGCATGGCCAGGTGCTCCCTGGAATGCCATGACATCCCAAAGTCAGAATAAGGCTGGTTTTGCAGCAACCTGCGGAACAATCTCCCCTTCACTGTGTCCTTGCCTCTCCTCTTTCCGCTTACCTCCCCAAGTGGTAACACAGGAACTGCATCAGGACCAAGGATGGGGTGTCTCAGAGCCCATATAATCACCTCTGCAGATGCAAACCAGGTTGCATCCTGGGCTTCCTCCGGCATGAATCACTCCATGTCCAAGCACACAAGTGGCTTCCTAGAATTGCACAGTATTCTCCAGATGGGGGAGATGGGAGATTCACAGAAGTCACTGTACGACCACATTCAAATTCTTCATTTTATCAATACCATGGACCTAAGCCCTCCTTGTGTGTGTCTGTCTACATGTGTGTAGGGGGCTCTCTCATAAAAAGTGACTATTTTCTTGACTTAAAACATCATGAAGATTTATGCTCCAGAGCAAGAAGAGGCTCCTATTTCTAAAGTCTCCTTCCAATGCAGATGGTACATTTATTAAAAAGCTCAAGGAAACAACTGACTTGTTAAAGAAATGGACTGAGCACAAAAAGAAACTCCACATCGTGGCTCATTCAACAATACGACCAAGTATTGTAGAGCAGATTTTCACAACGTCATATTTAGATTTTGGTTGCTTTTAAGGACATCTACTTTTGGCAGCAATGGGACACTTGCGGCTTGAAATGCACTTGAAATGTACCCAAACTTCATCTCTGAAGTCTCAGAAACATGGGCAGTCATGGAGCACAGGCCTTGAGGAACTGGGGAATTTCAAGGAGCCAAAAATATAACAACTATTAGTACTCATCATAATTATTGAGATCTGTAAAGTAGGCGTTGGAATAAGTCTTCCCGGTGAGATGCGGGTTGAAGTATTTGTTTCTTTCCTCTAGGATCAAGTTGTTTTTATTAAATGCCTGTAACACATAAAAATAAAAAAAATTTAAGTGGTATTTTAGAAAGAGAATATAATGAGGAGGTGACTGTGTTGAACTTGAGTTCTCTCCTAAGGCTCTATTATTGGAAAATGTGTTTCCTCACTTAACTGCTTCCTAATGTCATCAGCCTTGTTGAAGATTTGCCTCATAACTAGAATAAGGTGGGCAGTTTTTATATCTTCCAGTTTATTGCTGAGTTTTAGGCAGGAAGTTTCCAACAGTGATTGGGAATACATATTGTTATACTCATTTAAAGATGAATAAACTGTTCGAGGCATTTCATATAAATTACTCCACTGATTTTCATCATTTTCAATTCATTGAGAAGAAAACGGGAGGCTCTGTGAGTATGAGTTACAGCTGGTAAGTGACTCATGAACCCAGGTCTGCCAGCTCCAATGCCAATACCCTTCCCACCCCTTCTTCCAGGGAATGAGGAGGAGACTGGTCATTCACTTCAAATTTCTGGGGCAAACACTAAGTTAACCACTCATTGAGGAAATTCAACAAAATACAGCAGTCACAATGCACTTGTACATCACACAAAGCTTCACTGTGCTTGAAAATTATTTGAGGATAGTCTTTACAATACTGTGACAATTTTTCTCGGATTGCCATCCTGGTGACTCCTGAGCTGGACCTGTATATCTTACTGCCCAAGCCTGGTCCTCATTACCACGACCCAGTACGTATCTGCCCTTGCCCGGGAGCTCTTCTCTTTGGCATGACCTCCCTTTGGATGCAGAAAGCACAGTGGAGGCAGAGCTGGACACTGGCCAATGACCCAATATTTCCCAGTGTTTTATTTGTTGCTGTTACCATGTCTCATTTCTAACCTACATTCTGAATACGAGACTCTGAATATGTTTTCACAGGCAAAGTAAAGCTAAAAAGCAGTCCATCATAAGCGAAGTCCGTTACCTTGCCCTACACCCTCACCTGCACCACCACCATTGTGCCTTGTCAAGAGCCCCAGGGTCCACCTGCCTTCTTTGTACCTCTGGTTGCTGTGGTTGCTGCCTGTCCCTTACCTTGATGGCCTCCACCGAGTCGTACTTGTCCAGTTTGTTGATATGGTTCGTTATGCTGGTGTTGAGAGGGGCGGGCGCGATGGGGTGGATGACAGTGGCATCGTGGGATTGCTGCTGGTACCGCTGGCAGTAGGTGTAGACCAGGAGCGTAAGAAGGCAGCCCAGGATGGAGCTGCTCAGCCCCACAGCAACCATGTGGAACATGTTGAACTCTGGGAAGAGAGCGTCAAAGGTGGTGCTATACTGGAAAGGAACACGCTACACAACAGCAGAGGGCTTCAGTGAATGGAGAAAGACAACGTGGAAAGCCCCATATCCATCTGAAATTAATCATAGTGTCTTCCCTTGAAATGGCATGGCCACCAAGACACTGCTCCAAAGCGAACAGAGTGTATTTTAAGTTAATGCTCTTATGTATTGTAATGAGTCCTTTGGAAATCACCTTAATATACTAGCAGAAGTTTTTTTTAACTTAAAGAATGTTCTTCTCTTTCAAATGCAGCAGCTCTATGACCTATGGGATTTCTAGGAAACATGTGCTCCAGGCTCCTGCACAGTCTGGGCGTCCCCACGGGCACATGGCTGTGCCCCTCCCACAAAGGGAGAAGGTGTTTACTGCTTCTAATACTGCTCGCCTGCAAGCCACACTTTTCTTTATTATCTCATTTTATTTAAAAATGAGTCTACTTCCATAATTCTTATGTTTCTCAATACATCTTTGATTATGAATATGAATATATAACATAAAAAGTATAAAAGGGAATACAAGAATAACTTTTTTCTTTCTGAGAGGACAACTATAGCCAGTTTCTGGTGTGCTTGCCCCCAATTCTCTGCACACCTCTGTGCTCTGTGTGTGTGTGCGCACACAAAAATATTATGCTGGGTACCGCTGTTTTTCACATACATTTTGGAGATCTTACAAAGAAAGTAGGGACCATACAAATAAAAAAAGAATTTGTGTCAAGGAAATAAAATATGATCTTTCAGTGGTCATGAAAGGACCCTCTTTTTACACTTTTTTCCTGTTTAATAGACTCTGAGTTATTTTCCTTGAGTTATGAGCACAAAGCATTGAAAAAGTGGTCAGGCGTGGATTTATGACCTTAACATAGCAATGGCTCACGTGACATTGAGGTAACATAAGCACAACCTGCCTAATGTCTGAGAAACAGCAGGAAAAAAAAATAGACATTCATGGTGTGTTTGTAAGACACTTTGCAATTAGAGTGTCACGCCTCTCAGGGACTAAAAGACCATGCTGGGCTGTGTTGGAGAAGGTGGGCTTGGGGAATATCAGGCAAAGCAGAACATGACCTTCCTCTTACTGCTGTGTTGGCCCTGTGTAGCTGGCCAGTTGTTTGTGGGTTACTGGCCTTATGTGTCTCCCCTGCACTGGACACATCATGAGGACCTGGCTTTTTCCCTCAGGGTGTCCCCTCCATTGGCCACTAATGGGTGCACTGGTCACTAAGTTGAACCTGCTCCCACCCCTATCTGTCCACACTGCCCCAAGTGGAACCAGTGCAGAGGTGAGTCTGCAAAGCTGCAAAGTGAGGGACCTGGGGCTCTCAGGAGAGGAGAGCTGCTGATCTGCCCCCCACACCCAGGCCCTAGGGCATTTGTACCTTAACCACTCGGGTTCCTCACCAAGGGTTTTTCAAGCAGTCTTTACCTTACCTGCGATCCACAGCAGGTGCTGAATGTCTCTCACTTGTCACTAAACCCTGACTTCTCCCTCTAAGCTGTGCCCCTTTGCTGTTCCTGGGCACTGCATTATGGGGACCTGGGCCCTGAGAGGGGGATCCTCTTTTTGAGGGGGATGGACCCTGGGCTGAGGATTCTTCCTGGTGCACTATGAGCATGACCAACACACTCCTACTCACACTGAGACTCCAAATGACGTGATATTCCCACTGTAGGCATCTAGTGTGTTCAGTGCAAAGGGCTGGATGATCCAAGAGGATGTTACTAGAACATTCCACACTTAACATCCACTCCGGGCACCCACCTCAGTCTTTCATGTTTTGATTATTTTGTCAATAGTTTAGCAAATCAAAAGAACTTCGTAATTTTTTTACTTTTCCTGATTTTGCCTGAAGGTACGAGGGCTGGACCGCTCCCAAACAGGGGCAGTTGGATACAGCACCTGGGGACGTTCCCGCAGCGACCACTGCAGGTGTCACTCTAACACAGAAGCTGTGCTCCAGGTACTCTAGTGTTGTCATTTCTTGATACTTTAGGGTTGAGGCTTCCTGAAGGGATTGTCAGGTATGAATCTAACTACTCTCTGCCACACCGGAAACATATTTCATTGTAACGCAGAAGATGCATGACTCTACCCATATATAGACGCTTTGTCATTAGTCAGCTGCGTCATTCCTCCAGGTGTCCTCCAGGGAAGGCTGGGGCCACTGACATCTTTTTGAGGATTATACCGTCCTGTGTCTCGTGCAACTAAAAATAGCTCTCTAGGTTGAAAATTTTCAAAAGGCTCAGATTTTTGCATAAGGAAAAATAGTGCCTCTTAAATCTCTTGAATTGGCTTACTGTGACTCTCTGCTTTGAATATGCTTCTGTTGCTGTTATTTTTGGTCAGTAAAGTTGGAGTAGAGACCAATTGCCTGGCTGGTTCAACTTCCTGATTTTCTGTGCAAAACGTGATTGATTTTTTGCAACAGACTAAAAAAAGACATCCACACTATCTCCCAAAACATCCTTGCTAGGAAATTGTTTTTATCTATCAGCTCAACAATCAAATCCATCCGACCTCTTACCCAGCTATCCTGGTGTGTGACTGTCAGTAGCCTAGAGATCCAGAAAATTAGTTCTGAATACTGTAATTAGTTTCTATGAATTAATCAATAGCACCTCAAGGATTGATTCCTTGCTGTTATTTGGCACAGCTGGTCAGACACACAGCAGCAGCATTTTGGGATGGGAATGGACTTTGCCTTATGTCTTCCTAGGAGCTCAAAGCCTTGGAAGGACTCCTGCTGCTTAACCGTCAGGGGGCTGGCCAGGGAAAGTAGTTTTCAAACTTGTGGCAGATGTGGCGGGCCTGTCGACTCTGCAGAGATATCAGCTGGTGGCTTCCCTCAGGACAGGATCACTCCCTACAAATACCACCCACTCTGGGCCTTCGCTGCCTCTGAGGTCAGCAAACATGCCAGCTGACACCCTGGTGTTGTCCAAGAGTTTCCACTGACTGGGGTGCTGTGGCTTCAGCACCCTCAGACACAATCCTCCCACATACTCTTCCTGTGGCACCCTGAGCTTCAAGTTCACACTGCGACCCCAGCCTGGGTTCACACTGCCTGGATCCAGCCTGGCCTCCACTGCTGGCCACCTGCGTCAGCTTCAGCTTCAGCCAGGGATCCCACCTCTCTGTCCCTCACACTCACTGCCTACAAAAGGCAGATAAAAACCCATGACTGAGTGCTTTTCCTCAATCCCCAAAGCCAAAATCTCTGAAAAGGGCATGACCTGACCTGACCCATTTGCTACAGAACTGACCAGAAGTGCCAGGAGGCTCATTAGAATATTCACTCCACCCACACGTCACGGCAGCATCTTTAAAGGAACTGGTTACCTGGTGTGGCCCCCAGATCCTGCCGGGGCATTATGTAACATACAGTATATGCCCCATGTGGCCATCTGCAATCTGAAGTGTTCAACTCTAAAACCCTTCTTCATCTCTAATTCTTTTTTACATAAAGAACTCTGGACTTCAGCACTTACGTAAATGCTCTTTGTGAGGATCAAACAGGTTTCTTCTTGTCGTTTAATGCAGTGTCTGGCTCATAGTGACTGTTCTCAAATACGAATGAATTCTTGTGACTATTTTCATTTAAAGTGGCATACATTCATCTTACAGGTGGATCCTGAGTTAGTGACTGCCGTCTGTGAACTCTGACCTGACCCAGGTCAGGCACCGGACACTATCCCTGAGGATAGGACTATTGGTTCTTTATGTCCTCATTATAACCTCCAGGCCCCTCATTAAACTAGCACAGAGTGGGTGCTCAGCAAAGATCACTGAATAACTGGATTGCTACATGCCCGACTAGACAGAAAGAATGTACAATAACAGATAGTGAACACTGATTATTAAGTGTAGTCAATAATGAGAAGTACATTCCTAATACATGCCCAGAAGCACCAGACTCCGTCTGAGAAGAAGCAGAGACCGAAGCCCCTTGGGTTGAGTTGCTTGGGACTCCCCTGGTGGACGGATTATGATAGAAATGGTTATTGATAGGTCATAGGCCTATCAATACACACATGTGACAATGACTGTCTTGGAATAGGTTTTAGCTCCAACTAGCAAAGGTGGACCAAGGCTGGGCCTGGATATATGGACAGTGAGCTCCTCCCATCCAGATACAACAGACACAGACAGTAAAGTCCAAATTTATCATAGACTTCAATCAGAGAATGTTAATTTGTGTCATTTAGGGTTCTGGGAAGTTTGAAACACACCTCTAGAGATATGGGTAGAATATTATACCCCCTTATAAGTTTGTCGTTCCAGCAATCTGGAGATCTGAGGCTGACTGCCATGAATTTGCATTATAAATATAAACAAATCGTTCAAATACTCATCAGAACTCTAACATCAATATTTAGCATCTGTACAGTATCAAGAAATCAAGCACACTGGTTCATAAAGCTTAGCATTCACCAGAATCACCTGAAGGGCTTGCTCAACCACAGAGCGCCTAGTCCCACTCAAAGAGGTTCTAATTCTGTAGATCAAGCAGATGCTTGAGCATCCGTATTTCCCTCAAGTCCCCGGGTGGTGCTGGTGATGCTGGTCTGGGACCCCACCTGAGAACCACTAATCCAGATGTCCAACATTGACTCTTAGCATTTATGGTCTCAAAGCATAAGATGCTTGGGATCCAGTCTGTTGTGTTTTTGCTTTTTTTTTGGAATGACAGCAGAAACATCATTTGACCAAGAGCAGAAAATACCAGAAATCATTGAGAAAGTAGCGAAAAGGAAGAACTTACCTCCACACCTTTTCTCTTCTACACTACTGGATCTTGCCACAGATACTTCTGGGAAAACAAAAATCCAATCACAATGTATAAAGGGTATTAGGAAGAAAGATCATATTAGTGATTCTTTAAAAAATATCTGATGATTTTGAGTTTTATGTGAGTCAAGGTCCCAAAAGCCTGCTTTTAAAAAATTTATATTTGCTTGTGAGTTGGTTTAACCAGCCCGAGCTGTGCTTGGTCAGGATCATCTTGACTGGGAAGGGGTAAGTGCCATTACCACAGGGAGAAAGTGCAGTGGTCCCTGGTGTTGAGACCTGGGCACCAGCTTGGAAACAAGGCCAGAGAATGTGTTGATTTTCTGTTATAATAGTTCTGCCAGCCGTGGAACGCACAGTGTTTGTCTGAGGTCTTCCTGACTCAGATCTTTCGTTCCATCAAAGCCATTGTTGTCACATTCCCTGCAGAGAGCACCAATCCACCAGAGCTCCAAGGAAATGGCCAGAACAAAGTCCCTATTCAGAGCCCATTCGTGCTCTGCATGCCACATATGAGCTGCCAATGTGAGGAGAAACCCACCCAAACAGTAAAACATGATTTCAAAAGGCCAGAAACATTCCTCTTTCCTGTACTGATTCTTCACTAGATAACAAGAATTAAAAATATATCTATGATTAAAAAGGAAAACAACAACAATAAACATTGCAGTTTTATACCATGCATGATTGAAGTGCCCCATAGGGCCAAGGCTAATTCGTTTTTCTAAAATATTATCTCTTCCATAAATGGAGGGAAATAAATATTACCCAGTGTTACTTTGTAAGAGGCTGGTCTCTCCTTTGGTTCGTGTCTCATCGCTAACTCACACAGTGGGCGTATGTGACTGGCTGTGTCAGTATATACACCAGATCTACAGCCAGCATGTGACAGGTGACTACCTACCGCTAAAAACTAAACACCAATTTCACATGGAGAAGCCAGTGGCAAGAAGGCCAGTTACCTTTTCTCCAAGATACGTGCAATTTCCCAAATGGATTCCCATTTCCCAAATACATGAAGATCACATAGTGAGGATGCTATTTCCTCCTTTTCTTGGGCAAACATATGCACACAAGCATTGCCAAAATATCTCACTTAATAATTAAAATAAACACACCACTTAAATTTTTTAGCAAAATCTTCTGTATGTGTTGTAGTCACTAAATTGTAAAAGACAACACTGTGCTTATAAAATGTCTATGTGTTTTTTTTTTTAATATCAAAACTCATAGCCTACATGCCAGTCTATACTGGCAGTTATCTATAAATCTACACTTGAATCACCCTGGAATCACAAGTTGATAGAATCTATCTGTTTCACCCTAGGGACCTCAAAGAACAGTAAAACTCTATTTGATCACTCATTTTCTGTTTGAATGTAGGCAGTGATTTTACACACATTCTGCCCTTACCTGGGATGAAATTGGAATCAAAAACGCACGGCCGGCTCTCCGTGGTGTTCCCTGAACACTGGCTGCCCACTGGGAACAGCAGGACGCACTGGCGGGCGCGGACCTGGACCCCAGACACGTCACACTCAGACCAGTCTGACCACTCCGACCACATCTCTGCAGCGACCAAGGGTGGGGAAGGAGGCAACAAGGCCCACTAAGATTAGCCAACGTGAAAGCAGGGTCAGGTTACAGCTACATATGTGAATTCAAGTCTTCATATTAGGTTTCATGGGCCTGCATGTAACTAAGATGTGCTCCTATCTTCTTAGAAGGCCAGTGCATACAATACACACAAGCAGGAATAAAGGAACCGGTATATAGTGGACCTGAAATAATGTGCTTAAAATACACTTGCTAAAATCACATTATTTTCGTGCTATAAAGTAACTGGGTTAGACACTCAGGCTAATTGGTGATGTCTAGCTGTGCACAGAGCACTAGTGGTGGGGAGCCGAAGCCGTCTACACAGACACCATTTCTACCAGGGCAGTACTGATCCTCCGCAAAGGGGATTTGCACAGAGCAGCCCTCAAACGCTTTCCTGAGGAAACCCTCCAGGCCTCACGCTCAGGCGGGAGGGAGGAAGAGCGGCCACTCGAGAGAAAGCCCAGGGGCTGTGTTCCTGAGAAACACAGGGCTGCATGTGTTCTGCCGCCAAAACAGTCCTGCAGAGTCACTACACCCCAGTCAGGCCGTACTTGAGGTAGAATTCATCTTATCTCATGGTTACTGTCATGAAAGCTCATGGAAATCAACGTAAAAGTCTTGGGTTAAGGCCAGAAGTTGAGCCATACCAGGTCCCTTCACCCTGAAGTGGAAGATTTGCCAGGATTTGTTAAATTCACCCAGGCCTACAGATGACATTCATATTTGAAGTAAGGAGGTTACACAAATGAACTTTTAATATTATTTATGAAGTATTAATCAGCATAAAAATATATTTCTATGCAGTTTGTTTTTTTGCCCCCTCTCTAAATGCAAGAATGTCAGCATCGTCTCTGCAGGTCAAGAAAAATTTGGAACTCAAACTTGTGCCTTAATCCAATGAGAGGAAAGACCCATCTAAATGGTACAGTTTTCCCTTAAACATCTATCTGTCAAGTGACAGCTGTCAGGACAACTGAGAGTTTGGTTTCTAGGTACTATTCAATATAAATGAAACCTTCTAGAAAGACCTGCAGGAACAAGTTTTCAAAAAAGCAGAAGTGTTTCAATGTCAAAGTTAGGCCTCATTTTCATTCTCAGTGGTCTCCCTGCCCCACATGTTGGAAAACAGAGCTAATTCCTGGCTGAGGAGCTGTGGGAGCTGGTTCAGTGGCACCAGCGTCAGCCAACCTCAGCGCTCGGACCCCACGGCCCTGAGGCCTGCCTGTGAAGCAGCTTTGCAAAGTATCCATGCTCCCACCCTGGTTTTCCACAACATAATCTCAGATTTGATTCTCAGATTAAACATTTTATAAACGCCTTGTTATCACCAGCTTCTGCTACTAGTTCTGAAACTATGGCATGGTGACAACCATCTTACCATCTCATTGCAGAACAGGTGTTCTCATCACGCAGAAAACCTGTTCTGAAGTCATGGCAAGGGTGACAGTGTGAGGTTGGTGGCTCTCCTCTTTCAGCACCTGCGATGTGGCATGATCCATTTCACCGTTTCTAAATCAAGGGGACAGGCAAGTTGGTCCCGAAATCCCACCGCTTACCAGGGCAGGGCTGCGTGTTGCAGAGAGCCTCTTCTGTGTGCAGCCCCAGGCAGATGTCTCCACCGTAGGCTGGGGCTGGGTTTGTGCACGAGCGGGTCCTCATGTAGTGTCCACCGCCACAGGTCGCTGAGCATTTGGACCAGGGGGACCAGCAAGACCACACGCCATCCACTGGGAAGGGGCACAAAGTCATATTGCTTCTGAAATGCAAAATCTGACGGGTCTGATGGGGCTATAAATGGCGCGTGTGTGGCAGGAATGGGTCTGTGAGGCCACTGACCACTCACATCGGGGTATTTGGGGTCTTCTGGTGAGGGGACCTATTTTGCATAGTCTTCCTTTCATACTTTCAGTTCCTCCTACTTGTCCCTTCAGGAAATATCTCTAAACATAACACGTAAGCATGAGGATGACGAAGGAGCACAGTGCACGTAACACAAAATCCCTATCCCTGGGAATGACTGTGAACCACATTCTGCTATGATTAATGTGAAGCCCCACCTTGCTCTTGCCTTTGGTAACTGCACAAGCAAGTTGGCCAGGGGAGACTTACAGCCAAGGACAGGTCGTTCCAGTCACAGCCTTCCTTAGTAACTGAGTTACAATTTGCTCCAGGACGAAGAGATAAAGAAAAGGAGACAGGTCCAGTGAAGGACTGTGGAGACACTCCGAAGATGCAGGCACCACACCGCCCAACAAGCCACACCACACAGACTCAACGGTGTGCTGATGTGACAGACTAAACACAGGACCTGCCACCTGCAGCCAGACTGCAGGTTAGAAATGAAGGCGTTCTGTGACTTGAACATAAGGCAAAACTGCTTCCTGATGAACTGTTGCCATTGCTATCTGTGACTCTGAGCAGTTCTCCTGCTTTCTCCAGGCTGGGCTCCTGATACCTGTGGATGGGTTTCCTTGGAGAGTGCTGGGTGAGCAGACCCACCTGGATCTCGGTGCTCCCTCCTGCATTAGCTGAGGTTAAACTGAGACCTCCCGCCGGCTCCTGTCTGACAGTGTCAGGCATGATCTGCCCTGTGTCTAACTCCTTGCTGACCCTCTCTCTTGCCAGCTGGACCTGCCCTGTTTTACTGGGTCCCAGAGCAAAGCCAGGACTTTGTCAAGATGTCATTCAACTCCACTGAGCAAAAATCAATCATAACCACAGCAAGCAACATAAAAAAGCTGATGAGAAACTCATTTTTCTATATGTAGATAGTATCATGTTTTATTTTCTCCATATTCTACATAAAATAAAACAGAAACAACCAGGAAAGGGGATGACAAAATTGTCAAAGACACAAGGCTATTTTGGCCAGAATAACCTAGCCTGTATTTGTACATACCCACTGTGATTTAGTACATCTCTGTGGAGTAATACGTCTCTTTAGACATTGGCACAGGTAAAAAAAATATTTTTGAGACATGAGCAGCAACATTATGTTTATGGTGATATTTTCATTTGCAAAGAGTAAAAATAGAACAAAGAAACATTTGATGTGTAACTGGGAATTTTGTGGTTTGATAGTTTATCCACATTTGGAGAATTCCCCATTTTCCCCAAAAGGCAATAAGTATGTCAGAAAATAAGAGGGAATGAATCAGATATCTGACGTTGGTTGTAATAACAGAAAAAAAGGCAGGCATAGATTTGCCTAGAACTTTAAAATTTTCAGACACCCACTGCCATGTCTAGTCTCACTGGGGGGCTGCTTGCTGGCAGTTTTTCTCTCTCTGTGACCCAAGTTGAAGCTTGAAGTAGGTATGCATGCACACCCCAAACGAAGGCACAGATCAGTCACAGTGACTTACAGTAGCAGGTGTCACAGAGTTCAGATGTTTGAACATACACAAGGCAGTCCGAGGCTCAAGAGGGTCTAATGCAACATCTAGTTTGGAGTTGGAATCAGACTCAGAAGCAATCATGTGATCTGAAGATACTGGGCTTTTCTACTGCATAATGAACCTGCGGACCAATGGCCAGTAGGTATATGGAAATGATGCCCAACTTCATTAATAGGCAAGGAAATGCAAATCAATACCACAGGGAGTCATCGCTGCATACTTAGTAGGATGGCTATTATCAAAAAAAAAAAACAACAAAACAACAAACAGTAGAAGATAGTGTTGGCAAGGATGTGGAGAAATTGGAACATTTATAACTTATTTGTGCAAATGTAAATTGGGGTAGTTACTTTGAATAACAGTGTGGTGGTCCCTAAAAATTAAAATTAAAATTAAAAAATTTAAAAAACTACCATATAATCTGGAAATCCCATTCCTAGGTATATATCCAAAAGTATTGAAATCAGGGTCTCAGAAAGATATCTGCACCTCCATATTCACTTCAACCAAAGTTGGAAACAACATACAATCCATTGGCAGATAAATGGGTAATAAACTGTGGTATTTATGTGCAATGGGACAGTCCATTAAAACAAAGGAAGTCCTGTCATATTCCACAACATAGATGAATGTGGAGGACCTTATGCGGGTGAAATAAGAAAAAAAAAGAGAAAAATAAAATACTGCCTGGTTCCATTTACATATGAAATATAAAATGTCACACTCGTAAAAGCGGAGAGTGGAATGGTGGCTGCCAGGGGCTGGGTGAGGGGGTGGGTGGAACGAGGTGCTGTTCACAGATACGATGTCCTGACCATGCAGCAAGAATCTGCTGTGGAGATGGTGCCTGGAGCTGACAACACTGTAGGGGAGGCGCTGACTCAAAGAGCCCGCCCCTCTGTTAGACTCTCACTCTGTTCTTTCTCACTCATACTGGACACTCACAGTGTCCATAAAAAGACAAGGGGAACTATGTTATTCCAATGTGAATGCTACTTAGTAGAAAGAACCACCTGTAGTTTCTACCTTGGTTGGCCAAAGTCTGGAATCCTTAGTTCTGAATCAAACATGGTCTGAAGAAAAGGAGTGGTGAAACACCTACCTATTTCTCCACAAAAAGCCAAGAAAAGGAGTGGAAAGTAAAAGGGGCCACTCTGAGTATTTTTCCAACCCTCTTCAGAATCTTGGCTTTCATAAAGACAATGAGGACAAAGCTATTTCAAGACATTAAGGTTATATACACATGATAGTGTCTTCACCATCAAATCAACTAAAATAGAAGCAGCCCCCAGATCACGCTGATGGCTGTCTCTGGGATGGGCCCTGAGCCTGCACTCAAGGTCAGGGCAGCGCTGGTCTCTGAGGGAACCCATACCTTCTGCTGACAGCAACCAGGACTCATGTCTGGAACCTGGGAAGGCGAGAGTCCACAGAGGGATCCTGACATTCCCACAGCACCCTCCCTGCTCAGTTTACAGCTCAAGCCTGAATCTAATGATGCTGTCCCATGGCACCCTCTAGTCCCAGGGGAGGGATGCTCCACTCTCAGTGCTGGGGCTGTGGGAAAATCCAAGCTCTGTGACCTTTCCCAGCCCCTCAGCACCACTTGGCTGGGAAAGCTGGATGGTTGGAAGGAAGAGTCGCTTGAGGCTGGAGAAATCTGGCAGACACATCCCAGAAAAAGCAGAGCAGCTGCAAGAGCAGGAACATAACTGAGAGCCTCAGCTACAAGGCTGGGAATTGTGTATTTGCAGTTTAATGTACATATGTATATACCCATCCATTCATCACCCACCCACTCATCATCCCTCACTCACCCAACCATCGATCCATCCATCCATCATCCATTCATCCACTCATCCATCTATCATCCAACCATTCATCTTTTCATCCATCACCCACCCATCCTTTCATCCATCATCCATCATACAACCACTCACCTTTTTATCCTCCATCCATCCATCCATCATCCATTCTTCCAACATCCATCCACCTATGACTCATCCATCTGATCATTTTTCTATCTTCCATCAATCCATTTACCCATCCAACAAATGTTTACTGAGCACTGCTACAAGCCAATTTCTTATTCAAAGAACTCAGCAAGTTGCGTGTACCTACTAAAAAGATACTTTCAAGCTTCTGTACCCTTAAAAACACTGTTCCTAGTGTTTGAAATGACCATCCACCCTATTTCTGATTCCTGTTTGTCTGTTTGTCCAATTTCTCTCTGTCCCTCCACACTGAGGTCAGAAGCAGCCTGCTCCAGGTAGCTGATCCCAGCTCCGTGGGTGCTTGGCTGACATAACCTCTGTATCTTCTCACCACCCCAATACCTGGTGGCCATCTGGAGTGGCAAAATTCACAGGATGCCTCCTCACTGAACACCAGGTTCCTCCTGGCCTGGACAGTACCTCTGCATCTTTCTTTACCCTTAGAATAGTACACAGGAGGCTCCCCGAACATGTTTGCTGGTAAATTGAATGAAAGATGGCAGATCAAGTGACTGACTGACTGCTTTCCCTGCCTTCAGCAGTTACTGGTAGGTATTTGAGTGTGTGCCCAGCTCTCAGACACACGTAGGGGCAGCACACACAGCCGCAGACCAGCACCCAGGGTAGCCCAAGGCAGCAGGTGGAGGAGCCTCTGATGTGGGAAGGTCAGGTGGAAGGAAGGGAGGGAGGTGACAGGGCCCTACCCAGAGCTGTGGTGGAAGGAATGCAGACCAGACAGAGGGGCCTGAGGGGCTGTGTCAGCAGGCAGTGCCCTGCCAGGAAGACAGAGGCTCTTGGGGGCTTTTCCAGCTCATTTTATTACCTCTCTGCCAGCTTGGGAATTCCATGGAATGAAAAGCCAGAACTCAGGAGGAAGACCCAGACACAGAGCTTCTGCTGGCTTCCAGGAGAGACAAGTGTATGTTTGGAGACCCAGCTTGGGAGAAGTGGACCCCTGCTGACCAAAGGCACAAGGGGCAGCTTGCAGGCCCCTGGTGAGACACAGTTGATAACTGTCACCCTGGTGTAGGTATCTGTGGTGAACAGAGGTCAGTTCCTACAGGGCTGGGCCCATTAGGACCTGGGAGGGGACCACCTCTGCTTTCAAGGACAGGACTCCTCTCTCCTGAGCATGGTAGTAGGGCTGACTTCTCCACTGGGCACAGTGCCTAGGGCCCGTGACCCTCACAGGTTCGCAGGAGAGTGTTTCAGTGTCTTTGAATCAGGAGAAATAAATAAAACATAATGCTGTCTAGATTGTATTTGTTTTTATACCACTTCCAAGCAGTTGGAAGATATAATCTGTGATTTGCATATTTGTATGTGTTGTGGGTATATACAACATACCTCATTTTATTGTACTTTGCTTTATTGGGCTCCCAAGTTGAAGGCCAGACCCTCCCACAGCAAGATTACAATTTGCTGAAAGCTCAGATGCTGGTTAGCATTTTTGAGCAATGAAGTCTTTTTTAATTGAAGTATGTACAATGCTTTTTTTTTTTAGATATCATGCTATTACTCACTTAGTAGACTACGGGATAATGGAAACATAACTTTTATATGCACTGAGAAACCAGAAAATGCATGTTACCTGCTGTATTGCAGTGGTTTAGAACTGAACCCTTAATATCTCCCAAACATACCTTTCTCTCACACATACACGTGCCCACACACATACACACACAGCCAGGGAAGCTGGTTGAGCCTCCCTAGATCAAAAAATCTTCCAAGGTGATTGATTTTTTTTCAGATGCTTTAGAGATACTTCAACCCACTTACCTGGGCAGGGCAGAATGTTGCATTCCTGGTACTCCAGGGAGGGGCCCAGGCAGGGCAGGCCCCCGTACTTGGGCTCAGGGTTGTTGCAAACGCGCTTCCGGTTCCGGATGCCCCTGCTGCAGTCTCGGCTGCACTGTGACCATGACGTCCAGGCTGACCAAGCCCCGTTGACGGTGTGGGCAGAGTATCTCCCAGCACGCAGGAAATCACCAGAGAGACCTGCCGAGGAAGAGGCTACAGTGTTCGTTCTCGAAGTGACCAGGGTCTAAACTAACTTTCATTTTGCATCAGTGCCTGCTTTGTTTCTGTAGCTACACCCTCAAATTCTGTTGAACACTTTTTGCACTTCAATCTCCCAAATTAAAAAAGAAGCAGTTGAATGATTAACCTCCTAGAACTCAAGTGTCTTTCTCCGTGCCTGCTATTAAATAAGGGTGCAAGTAAGAACTCACTTGTTGAATGTGGCCAAGTCCTCACACAGGCTACAGGGTATAGCTCACTTATTTTTCTGGGACACTTTTACAAAGAAGACACAACTTTCTCACTTCCCTTGGGAATTCTACAATAACCTGGCCTTAGACTCATTGTTGAGAAGATGGTCTGGAAAAACAGAGGATAATTCAGACATTTTTTTAAAACTGACATTAACTCTCTGAATGACCCCTCACCTGTGCACCTTCACAAGGTGAAGGAAGGCTGGTGAAAGGCATGGAGTTCATGCTTCTGAATCGGAGGCCACGGAGACACGTGGCTGCTCCGGAACCCAGCAGCGGGCCTGAGCTCAGAGCCCGGCGCCCACCACACCCGTGAATGACCCTGTCATGTGGCAAATGCTCCCATGAAGTTCAGAGCACACTCACTAGCAAGACAGGGCTGCCCAGGAACAAGTGTAGATGTAGAAGCAGCAGCAGTGGGTGCTGGGCCTTGGGGGCCGGGGGGCTGTCTTGGCAGAGACAGATCTGAATAATGACTGTGTGTCAGGTCTGCTCAGGGTACTCTGCACTGACGTCATGTCATTAGCCACAGTCAAAATTCCTGTTTGTTGTAATAAAGATGCCAGCCACTAGTAATATTAAAAAAAACATTCAGTAATTTTCTCCAGTGTAGGCAGAGTGACACGAGTTTGACAACAACAGCAAGTCTCCAAGTCTGCACCGGCCTTCTGGTGGAGTGCGAGGGCAGACGTGCCAACAGTTCCAACCACTGTCAGACAGTTTTGTTGCTCATTTCGAAACCGGCCCAGAAATCTAGGCAGGAGGCTCTTTGGAGAAAATGGACTAGAAATGTCTTTTTGTGATTAACCAGTACTTTGTGGTTAATCAATAAAGAACAACTATTCAAAATTAAATTGCATCTTGTGTGGTTAGAGGCAAGTAAGTCCAATTTTGTATTTTCAAGATATTAATACCAAAAATGTGTGGACGGTCCTTAGAGCTTGAATTAAGACACAAAAAAGATGAAGTCTTTTTTTAAGCCATGCCCATGACATACTTTCAGAGAAAATATAGAATATATCTTATTATAGTGTATTAAACTTTTCCTTAGGTGATGCTACTAACATTTAAAATAATTATTAGCTTTGGTTTTCTATTTGTCTGAAAATGGAAGAAATACAAAATCTATTTTCAGAGAAGAGAATAAAGTTAATTTACAGAGAAATGCTGTTATTCATTTTCTATTTTTTTTACTTTGGTATCATAAAAAAAATAAGATAGTTCACAGCCAGCTCTGAACTAAGGAAATAAGTGAATAATGTTTATTTTTTTTTAATTGAAGATTTATCCACACAAAATTCTTCACTAAAGGATACTTCTTTCCTCCCACCTCAAAGAAACATAAGCTTGTTAGTTGCTAAACGACTTATTAAACAGGATGGTTTGAGGGGAGCAGAGAGTTCGTGTCACTAGCTCAGTAGACAGTTAATGTCAGCAAAATCAGTATGACCAGGAGTGGCCACTGATGGCAACTGTTGGCCCGGCAGGCATGCTGGCTGGCGGCTCAGGCTGCCGTGGGTGTTCAGCGCCCAGACGGAGGCATGGGGTTCTGTGCCACATGTGCAGCTGGTGGCCCTTACAGCCATTCTGTTCAAGAGCTTTCCCCCTGGCAGTGTGGAAGGAGATTTATGGCACCTCCACAAATTTATTCCACCCGCCCCATTTCAACATGGGACCTCACCAGCTTTGTGGTTCCTCAAGGCCAACTCCCCCAAGTCTAACGCTCCTTCTCTAAAAGTGGCTTTGATGGTGACTGCACTTTCTCTATCACATTTGTGGTAGGAGAATAAGGTAGAATTATAAACACAGCATTTCTAATGCTCAGAAATGTTGGGAAGTGGTCTAGTGTAAGATATTACTGCCACTGCCATGAAGACCCCTATGTGAGCACTTGTTTCTTCTTAGAATTGGTCAAATTTTGTTACATGAGATGATAGTGATAGAAGACATAAAGAAGGATGCAGAAATGCCCAGGCAGAGGAAGGACTTTCTGGTCTACCCTAGAGCTCACCCTACACTATTAATATGCCATTAAAGGGATTTATTTATACACATATGCAGAAGACCATTCTGTGTAGCATGGGCCCAGCTCCCACTCAGAGATGCACAGGACCCATGCCCACAGATAGGTTCTCCCATGGGGAATCAGGCCCACATTGTACCTAGACTGCTATGAGACTTGCTTTTGTTAAAACTCCCTCACCCTGAATTGAGACAGCAAGTGCTTACTGTAACTTCCTAAAATCCACGCTAAAACTCCCCAGTATGGAGTGTAACTGGTTCAACCACTTTTCCCTTTGCATTTGCAAATATCCTTCTTTGATGTGATTAGCAGCATTGGCTCCTTTATTTTCTGTAAAACGTAACCACCTAAATTGAACCTGTGCATAGTAAATGAGGACCATCATGTAATGTGTGCAGAGAAGAAATAAAGGCTGGTCACCAAGGGCCGAGGCTTTTTCTCCCCTTGAGAGAAAAGCTGTGCTGCCCCTTTTCCTCCACAGGACTCAACAGTCCATGTGAATTTCTCGAGCCTCATCCACAATGTGGCGGACCCCACAAGCTGGGGTCCACACCACATGTACAAGGAGCAAAGCAATTTTAAAGACTATTGAAGGCTTCTCATATGCTGTAGCCTTAAAAAATCCTTATATATATATAAACACAGAGATGCAATTCTGTTTTCTTTGTCCAGTTTTGAGATAAAAGAAAAGCTTATTGCAAAATTTAGTGCCAAAGAAACTACAGAAGGTCACGATCACCCTTCCATAATATTTTCTGATACTAAATAAATCTCCCACAAACTATCGTGGACCTGCTATAAATATTGTGCTATTTTCAGGGTTGACTTCACAAGACCATCTCAATGTGTAACCACCAGTAAATTTTTACAGTAAGAGTTTCCAATCAACCTTCTACACAAAGCCAGTCTGTTCTAAAGGCATCATTGTTAGAAAGCTTGCTAAACCAAAAGTCATCAAAAGGAAAAATCCCCCTCTCTCTTCTGTGAACTTAGAGAGCAGATCACATGCAAGTCCGTGGAAGTGGGTCAGCCCCCACGGAGTCCCCACTCACCATCCGTGGAGCAGCCGCTGGTTCCATCACTAGAGCAGTACCGCATTTCGATTCTCTGTCTTCCAACTTCCAGCAAGTTTGGGTCAGGCAGGCGGGCTTTGCATGTGTATCTAAATCGCTGCTCATAGTGGCCTCCATTGTCAGAGATGTTGACAGGCGTCCAGGGCGTCCAGGGTGTGGTCTTCTTCAGCTCAGGGCATGAGTTGGTGTTACAGGGCTGGTACTCCTGGGAGAGAAAAGGCATGGTGTATGCTCACCATACAGCATACATAGAGCCAGGGTTCTGTTCTGTCAGTGAAAGACAGGGCTCTCTAAAACCTCAGGTCATAAGACACCCAATTAGCTACTCTACAAGGTTTAAAACACATTTTTGTTAAATGGGGTACTTGGGAGAATGTTCAGTGTTCAAGTCAACTCCAAAAGGATAAATGCCCGTCTGTAAATGAGTGGATCAAGAAACTATGGTACATCTGCATGATGGAATACTATGCAGCAGAAAGAAGGAGCTCCTACCCTTTGTGATGGCAGGGATGGAACTGCGAAGCATTATTCTAAGTGAAATAAGCCAGGTGGTGAAAGACAAATACCACATGATCTCACTTACAAGTGGAACCTAATCAACAAAACAAACAAGCAAGCAAAATATAACCAGAGACATTGAAATAAAGAACAAACTGACAGTAACTAGGAGGGAGGGGGGACAGGGTAACAGGAAGAAAAAGGGGTAGGATCATCAAGGAACACGTATAAAGAACCCATGGACAAGTAGGGTAGGATTGAGGGTGGGATGCAGGATGGATGGGGCGGGTGGGAGTGGAGGGGGGAAATGGAGACAACTGTACTTGAAAAACAATAAAATAAATAAAATAAATAAATAAAAATTAAAAATTGATTCAGAGAAAAAAGATCTGCACAATTTCTTTTGTGTCAACAATGAAAGTGAGACAACAAATGTAACTGTCAATAAAAATCATGATTTTCATAAAAATCACATTTCTTTCACTTAATAAGTAACACAAAGTGCTAAATATTCTGATGTTAAATTTAGCTTTCTTCTTTGAAAGATTAAAGTGAAAATGGTGGGACCATGACTTGTTTTTTGGATGACAGTATGTTCAGTTTGTGATTAATGAGTGTTTTAAGCTGTTTTAATCACAGGTTCAAAGTATTAGATGGGGAGGTATCCAAATGATAACACAGTATGTAATAACTTTGTGTTGATAAGAAGTTTTCACAAGATTTCCCTGGTTAATGCCTCAATGACATCTGTGAGTTTCTCCCCCCTTCCCTCACTGCCAGGTATCTCCCTTACGCATAGGTCAGAGGGTCCTGGGAGCTGAAGAGAAAGATTTGAAGATTTGGCAAAGGGGCACAGTGTGTGTCGGGGGTTGGGTTTAAGGCTACAATTATGAAGATCCATCAGAAGCAATGAAATATTTATTTGGCAATAATTCTGAACATTGTATCTCTAGAAATAGGGCCAAAGACCAGGGTTACTGGGCTCATCTTTGGACAGAGCACAAGGCCATCATCTCCCTTTGACAACAAAGGAGGCTTCCTCAGGAGGAAAACCAGCAACACACCACACACTCAGTTATGGCCAGAGTTCTATAGTGATTTTTACTGACGTAAAACACACATATAAAATAAGACTTAAACAGCTCTCTAAGCTGTATTATCAAAAAGAGAGCTGTTCCATCTGCCCCCCATCAATTGTTGGTAGACATTTGGATATTTGTCCTGGGGGAGAGACAAGGAGAATTTGCCCTCAGGCACCGTCCATTCCCCCTGCACTGTAAAACACAGGGATTTAGCTCTTAATTTCCTACACTGCTCAATGTGTCTTCATCGTTGACACAGCCTTCCCATCTCCAGTGGTCTTACTACTGTTAAGCTACACCTCTGGCTAGGTCAAATCTGGTGCTTGCCCTTAGCACAAAGTGCCTACTCTCCACACACAGAGTGTGACTGATTTCTGTTTCTTGTCCAGTTCCCTTCCGATCCAAACCAAGAGCTCATCTGTTTTGGGGGTGGCTGTTTAGTTTCTATGAGCACGCCATCAATTCACCCCTGTCAGGTACTCACAGTAAAAGTTGTCTTTGTGGGTTTCTGGTTTGAAACAAAAAATGCCCTTCAATATTTTATCAGTGAATTTCCAACGAGAGAAAAAGTAGTCATGTGTTCTGATTACTATAACTAGGTTTCTTTGCTCACAATCCATCTGTTCTATTCTTTTTTTAATATATTTTATTGATTATGCCATTACAGTTGTTCTATTTCCCCCCTTCATTCCCCTCCACATGGCACACCCCCTCCCCACTATTCCCCCCTTTAGTTTATGACCATGTGTCTCAAGTTCTTTAGATTCTATATCTCCCCTACTATTCTTGCCCTCCCCCCATCTATTTTCTACCTACCATCTATGCTACTTATTTTCTGTACCTTCTCCCCCCTTCTCCTTCTCCCACTCCCCTATTGCTAACCCTCCATGTGATCTTCATTTCTATGGTTCACTCCTGATCTAGCTGTCCTCTTAGTTTGCTTTTGTTTTAGGTGTGGTTCTTAATAATTGTGAGTTTGCTGTCCTTTCACTGTTCATCTTTTTTATCTTCTTTTTCTTAGGTAAGTCCCTTTAACATTTCATATAATAAGGGCTTGGTGATGATGAACTCCTTGAACTTGACCTTATCTGAGAAGCACTTTACCCTTCCATTCTAAATGAAAGCTTTGCTGGATAGAGCAATCTTGGATGTAGGTCTTTGGATTTCATAACTTGGAATACTTCTTTCCAGCCCCTTCTTGCCTGTAAGGTCTCTTTTGAGAAATCCGCTGACAGTCTGATGGGAACTCCTTTGGAGGTGACTGTCCCCTTATCTCTTGCTGCTTCTAGGATTCTCTCCTTCATTTTAATTTTGGCTAATGTAATTATGATGTGCCTTGGTGTGTTCCTTCTTGGGTCCAACTTCTTTGGGACTCTCTGAGCTTCCTGGATTTCCTGGAAGTCTATTTCCTTTGCCGGATTGGGGAAATTCTCTTTTATTATTTGTTCAAATAAGTTTTCCACTCATGGATGTTCCTCTTCCCCTTCTGGTACCCCTATAATTCTGATGTTGAAATGTTTAAAGATGTCCTGGAGGTTCCTAAGCCTCTCCTCATTTTTTTGAATTCTTGTTTCTACATTCTTTTCTGTTTGGTCATTTTTTCCCTCTTTCTGGTCCACTCCTTTGATTTGAGTTCCAGTTTCCTTTCCATTACTATTGGTTTCCTGTGCATTTCCATTCATTTCAATTAGTTTAGCCATCATATGTTCCTCTAATTTGTGACCAAAATCAACCAGTTCTGTGAGCATCCTGATCACTAATTTTTTGAACTGCGCATCTGAAGTTTGGCTATTTCTTCATTGCTTAGATTTATGGGCTCTGGGGCTCTGAGTTGTTCTTGAGCCATGTTTTGATCTGTTCATGCCTGTTAGGTATGAGGAGCGGAGCCTTAGTTGTTCACCAGGGAGGGGGCACCCAGGTCGCTGGTTTGTGAGGCTGTATGTGGGGGTGGGCCAGAGAGGGACAATGGCAGTCCCCTCTGCCGCTTCCTGCCACTGGGGCCTGCACATTCTGTCTCACCACTCCCTTCTTCACCAGTTTATCTGTGCACAAATGTGTGACTGTGGTCAGCCCTCAGTGAGTCCGCCACCTTGCGCCCCCAGTGGGTCCGCCCGCTTCTCCACACCTGGGATCCACTTACGGCTGCCAGTGCGCCTGGGTCGTGCACCCGGGTAGGTCCGTGGATCTTTCCTGCCTAACCCTGCTCTGCTGCTGGTTCTGCCCCTCTTACGGGTTTGGCTGAAGGGTTCATTGTTGTCAGACTTCCGTGAAGTTTAATTTTCTGTGGTTTTGGCTGCGTTTTTGTTGCTAAAACTTTGTTGTTTTTAAACTTGGTTGTGGGAGGAGGCACAGTGCTTCCACCTACGCCTCCATCTTGGCGGAAGTCCTCTGTTCTATTCTTTTTTTTACAAGGGACAATGCCCCAGAGTTCTGCATGTTGGAGACACCATAGGCTTTTGACAGGCAGTGTGTGAAGTGGTTTTCCTTGCTCCTCTGGTGTCAGGCCCTCTCCCCTGGCCTTCCCCAGCCCACAGGCACTGCTTGTCTCCACACCAACACCCACTGCAAGATAGATGACTGCCTTTCCCTCTGTTTATAGCATTTTTTATTATGGCACCTTTTGGATGCTGTCTCCTGAATGAAAAAATAGCCCCCATTCAGGCCATAAACCTGATCATGTGAGACACTAGACGGAAGATGTGAGCTCCCTCACTTTCACTTGAAATGGAAGCCACGTGACAGGAATGCATACACCTTGTCTGGGAGCCCCCAGGCCCACCGTGTGGCAGTGACACGCCCAGCAGGGCAGGGGGCACGTGTACCAGGGGTGGGCGTGGCTCAGTGAGGAAGAAGGTCGATTCAGGCTCATTAGACCTAAACCTCTGAGAACAAAATCTGTTCTTTTCTTCATTAGCTCCTCACAGCATAGCTGTTGACAGGAGACACAGGACTTTCCATTTTCAACTGCTTTTTGAGGTTTCATACAATGCATTTACTTAAAATATGAGATTATGAAGTGCTGAGAAATGATGGCCAATCTGTTTTATATTAATGACTAAAATTATGAAGTGATTCAAGTGAATAGGGTGTAATTATATGCCTCTGTTTGCTACAATTTACTTTTGAACTGTTGCTCTAAGTCCTCACATTTGAATGGAACTTGAACGGCATGACATTTAATGTTACAGAAAGAAGTTATTTTCAAAGTAGTTTCAGGAGCTAATTACTATAACTTGCCACATAGGATTCTTAATATTATGGTGGCAAATATTAAGAGAAGTTACTGACATTAGTTCCATATGTGGACATATATAAAATCAGGATCTGATAGAGATCTATACACTCCCAAACTCATTTCTGCATTGCCCATGATGGATAAGATATGGAAACAACCTAGTGTCCAACAATGAATGAAAGAATAAAGAAGATGTGGCATGTATAACATACAGGGTCTGACACAAATAACGCCTGTTCTTTATTACAAAATCTTAAGCATGTAATTCTGTAACAGAACAATATCACACTCAAGCACTGGTGACCATATGACATTTTAGGTGAAATGTTCATATTAAATTATTATGCCCATATCATTAACCTACCAAACACACTCAAGCAGGTGTTACTT